TGCTCCTGGTGTTAGTCTCTTCTGTTAGAGATCTGCTCCTGGTGTTAGTCTCTTCTGTTAGAGAACCGCTCCTGGTGTTAGTCTCTTCTGTTAGAGATCCGCTCCTGGTGTTAGTCTCTTCTGTTAGAGAACTGCTCCTGGTGTTAGTCTCTTCTGTTAGAGATCTGCTCCTGGTGTTAGTCTCTTCTGTTAGAGATCTGCTCCTGGTGTTAGTCTCTTCTGTTGGAGAACTGCTCCTGGTGTTAGTCTCTTCTGTTAGAGATCTGCTCCTGGTGTTAGTCTCTTCTGTTAGAGATCTGCTCCTGGTGTTAGTCTCTTCTGTTAGAGATCTGCTCCTGGTGTTAGTCTCTTCTGTTAGAGATCTGCTCCTGGTGTTAGTCTCTTCTGTTAGAGATCTGCTCCTGGTGTTAGTCTCTTCTGTTAGAGATCTGCTCCTGGTGTTAGTCTCTTCTGTTAGAGATCTGCTACTGGTGTTAGTCTCTTCTGTTAGAGATCTGCTCCTGGTGTTAGTCTCTTCTGTTAGAGAACTGCTCCTGGTGTTAGTCTCTTCTGTTAGAGATCTGCTACTGGTGTTAGTCTCTTCTGTTAGAGATCTGCTCCTGGTGTTAGTCTCTTCTGTTAGAGATCTGCTCCTGGTGTTAGTCTCTTCTGTTAGAGATCTGCTACTGGTGTTAGTCTCTTCTGTTAGAGAACTGCTCCTGGTGTTAGTCTCTTCTGTTAGAGATCTGCTCCTGGTGTTAGTCTCTTCTGTTAGAGAACTGCTCCTGGTGTTAGTCTCTTCTGTTAGAGATCTGCTACTGGTGTTAGTCTCTTCTGTTAGAGATCTGCTCCTGGTGTTAGTCTCTTCTGTTAGAGATCTGCTCCTGGTGTTAGTCTCTTCTGTTAGAGATCTGCTCCTGGTGTTAGTCTCTTCTGTTAGAGATCTGCTCCTGGTGTTAGTCTCTTCTGTTAGAGATCTGCTACTGGTGTTAGTCTCTTCTGTTAGAGATCTGCTCCTGGTGTTAGTCTCTTCTGTTAGAGATCTGCTACTGGTGTTAGTCTCTTCTGTTAGAGATCTGCTCCTGGTGTTAGTCTCTTCTGTTGGAGAACTCTAACAGAACTCTCCAACCCTTCTGTTTAGTTTAAGCCCACTTGACTTTTAAAACAATGTAACTGAATAATTCATGTTATAATCAAATAATATTCTTCATTCTCCATGAAATGCTCTTGTCTTCAGATGCTGATGTTCAGTCTCGAGTTTGCAGCGGTTGGGATGTGGTTTCCATGGTAACAGAGGATTTCACTTCTTTCTGAAGAGCACAGGTTATATAACATGTCTAGAGGGCTAATTTAACACCTTTTGTTCACTTTTTGCTTTCACACAGATGTTGCAGTCATGTATTCTATAGATATAAAATAAGTGTTATGCCTTTGCCTTACATTGTATACAAATAAGTGTTGGGACTAATATGGATTTTGAACCCTTCAATCATAGTGCGGATTGATGGAGATGAACAATGAGCTCTGACTCGAACGCTGCTTTCACAGTCAGACTCTATCAATCAGGTCTTAACTCGTGTCACAGGTCGACTCTTAGGGCCCTATCTTGCACTCGGCGCAAATGACTTTGTACACTGACGCATGTATCATTCCTATTTTGCACCCGCGCAAAGCGGACTTTTCCCTCCACAGACGCACGTCGGTTAACTAAGAAATACACTTGCGCTCCCCGGGGCGGTTCAGCGGAAAGAGGAGGCGTGTTCCGGCGCAAACTTTCCCTCATGCTATTTTGCTGTTCTATAAAACAATTGCGCCACTGACCAGAAAAAACCTAGTCTAAAGTCAGTAGCGCGTTGCGCGTTGTTCATTATGCTATTTTAAGGGCGCATGCTTGGCCATAATCAATGTAGCGTGTGCACATACACTTTGATTCTCTCATCTAAGCAGCAGTTTTCATTTTTGCAAATCATACATTATTACGATAGATAGATAGATAGATAGATAGATAGATAGATAGATAGATAGATAGATAGATAGATAGACAATTTATTATAAAAGCATACATGTAGCTTACACATTTACCCAAATTATCATACGCCTGTTTAACAGAAGTTAATTTGGGTGGGTTTCTCCATCCCCAATGTCACTTCTCTGTGTTTTACGGCCCTGACGAGAACGCTGCTCTCCTCGGCTGTGAACCGCTCCTGGCGCGCGCCTGGCAAATCCGCCGTTATAATAGGAATCCGCTTTAGAACAAGCGCGCCTGCTCTTGAAGGGAATGTGAGATGACGCTCTGATTGGTTTATTTCACGTTACACCCAAACCACACCTATGAATGAAGCTACTTCAGACCAACCCCTTTTAGATTTGCGCCAGGCGCAAGAGGCATTTATCCCGCCGGGAAAATAGCAACAGCGCCGGGATCCGCCCACAAAGTTACTTGCGCTTTGCGCTTTGACACTTGCGTTTCAGATCGTTAAAATAGGGCCCTTAATGTTAAATGGATATTATATGTTGTGTTCACATCGATTACACATTAATGTGCTTTCAGTATCATCTGATTTCATTTATTTGTTTGTCCTTACACTGTCCCATATCATCTATATTCCCTTCTCCAGATTCTTACTGTCTATTGGGTTGATTAACCCTTCTTTTAGAAAACTTTTAAATTATAATCACATTTTTATATTTAAGTTAAGGGTTTTTGCCCAATGCTTATCATTGTGTCTAATAATCCTCATATGTTCATCAGGGGTTTTTCCTGCTAAACTTCTTCCTCACGCTGCTTTCCTCTCTTCTATCGTTCTCTCTTTCTCTGCTTCTCTCCATCTCTGCAGATCCGAGTTCCCACGGCCATGGAAAACCTGGACGTAACAGGGGATTCTAAAAATGTATTTCCTAGGATTGTAAAAGTCATAGAAAAATAAATAAAGATTTTGATAAATGCACATTTCTCTGGTTATGCTCAGATGGAGGGTTAGAACGCTGGATCCATTCAAAACAAATCAAATCCATTAAAAAGTCTCAAAAGGTCAAACAGATTCTTCATTCAGGGGCCTAATTACTGTACAACCTATAGAATTATGTACTGATCCTAATAATTCATTAATTTATCTGAATACTGAAACATTGTTTCCCAAAACTAAGCAGTACAGTGACATCACTATACATCCGTGTGTGTATGTATATGTGTGTGTGTGTGTGTGTGTGTGTGTGTATATATATATATATATATCAGGGTTTCCGTTGTCCGGACATTGGCCGGGAAAAAAATGAAATGTCCGACAAAATTAAATCTCTCCGGTCAAATTGTCTGATTAAAATTGCGTAATAATCCCGCCCCCCTAACACAATATGAATTTATTTGAGAAAATGTATAAAGCAAAAATACACCGACCTTTGGGTATGTTATAAAGGAACAGGCTCTACCGTTTGAAAGTTATTAAACAACATCGGATGCTGCATTTCAAATAAAGCGCACGCCTAGAACGGCTGTAATATAGACCTAAACAACGAACGATTGAGTGAGACGTTTCAGATATGGCCAGGCCCAGGCTAGCCTTAAAGGAACACTCCACCGTTTAAAAAAAAAAAAAAAAGGGGTTATTCACGGTCTCCCCTACATTTAGATAGGTGGGCAAATGCATGTTTGGAAGCACAGG